CTCTGCATGCGAAAACCCACAGTCCCGGGTTGTGGCCCATCTTCAGGCTGCCCAGCAAACTGTGGCAGATCCTTCCCAGCAGCTTGCCTGGCCATATAACCCTTCATATGGCGCTGTGCTGGGGTGTCTGAGGGCTTCTGCGTGCCTACCGCTGCCAGGATAGCTCCAGCGAGCTGCGCGATGTCAGACTGCGGCTGCTGCGTAGCATCTGACTGCGGCGCCTGCTGCTGACGTACTGCCGGACTGCGTACTGTGGCTGTTGACGTTGCTGGTGGCTGCATAACATCTGACTGCGGTGCAACATCAGACTGCGGCGTAACATCAGACTGCGGCGACTGCTGCTGACATACTGCCGGACTGCGTACTGTGGCTGTTGACGTTGCTGGTGGCTGGTTAGCTGTAGCTGCGTGGCCACCGCCAGCAGACACTGCCACAGCTGCCTGGGGAGTTCCACCACGTACAGACTGTTGGGCTGGCTCGCGTCTTACACTGCTACTAAAAGGTCTTACACTGCTACTACTACTACTAATGCTAGCACGCGTTGAACGCCTTGACTCCGAGTATGCACTACTACAGTCCATTTCAAAACTATAGACGCGTAGGGTTTTTGAAATATTTCAAATTTGGCTGGAGCTTTTTGAGAATAGTTTTTGGAATATTGCTCAGGTCCGCTCCACAATTACTCTCATAATTATAGTTTCTAAACGATTGGATAACAGACGCCCAATTTGGAAAAAATTATGCACAAAGTGATCACAGATTTTATGTGGTATAGATGCTGGCATAACGGTTTTTGCCTATGTACGCGTCTATAGTTTTGAAATGAACTGTACTAGTACTGGAACTGTCATGCTGGCTTTCGATGGCTTCATGCTGCATCGCCAGCTCCATTTGCAGCAGTCTCCTCTGCGACTCTATCTGTTGCTGCTCCAATTCAGCCAGCCTCTTTGCAGCCTCGTACTCAGCTCGTAGGTGCGCACTCCGCGCACCGCGACTAAGCGCCCTGCGACTACTAGTAACGCTAATACTGTCCACTTCAGACTGAGCACATCATGTACACTGGCACTGGGTGATGGTGGCAACGACAAAAATAATTCACCGCAGCGTCAAAAGTAAGCTGAGCGTCAGTCTGTGTCGACTCCAGCCACTCACCGAGCCGGTCTGGAGCTCTCCCTCTGCCTCTGGTACATGGTGCCGTGGTGGTTCTGGTGCTCTTGCGCGACATCTCCACGGCAACGATCGAAATGCACACTCAAATTTCAAAAATATACACTATACGATCATAACACAACGAGCTACGGAATACAGAAAGTTTTACTTCAGGGCTGTTCGATTGGCTCCGGATGCGCCTCCGCACATCCGGCTCGAAGGACCAAATGTTCAGGGCAATACGGACAACCCAAGTCACGACCACACATCGAAAACTACTGCTCGCTTGAAGACTGTATAAAGTGTATTCACAAACAACAACAAAAACTGAAACCTGGAAAACTCTCTGAAAAAGAAACTAAACAAAAAAGCCACGAGGTCCGCTCGGCCCCTCGCGCACCAAGATCATCTACGAAAATGGAGGCATCGCAGTTCGCCTTCAAGGAAACAGCAACTATTGCAGCGAAGCGGTGAAAACTGCAAGAAAGCGAAAGCCATAGATCACGGACACAACAGAAAAAAACCTGTACCAAAGAAAGCGCATCGCTAGCCGGCAGCGCAGCATTGTACACACACATGTACACAGCGCACATGCACAGTTCACTGTACATTTGGCAAAAAAACGTAAAAGAAAATCAAGACTGTTCAAAGCGCAAAAAAACACATGTCACGTCATGTTCAAGGAAATTCAAACGAAGAGAAAAAGAGAGTAGAGAAGTTTAGAGAAGCACAAGAACGAAGAAATGGAGAAGAGAAACGTTCTTGAGATGAAGAGTAGAGAGAAGAGCAGAGAGAAGAGAGAGACAGACTGGAAAGCAGTTCTACAGAAGACGTGAGAGAGAAGAAAGGTGAGAGAATAGACAGAACGAAAATAGCAAAGACAAAGTCCACAACAAATTCAAACAATGTCAATCTTGTTCACAAGTTCAACCATCAGGCAGGAATACCCCTCAAACTGGACCGACTTAGCCTGGCTTCCGGCAGGCCTGCGGTCTATCTGGAAATTCCTAGATTGCACAACCCTGCACGAGTATGTTGGGAATCCTCGGCTGATTGTGCTGCGCAATCTGCAGATAGCGTAAATTTACAGATTGTGTCAATTCCCAGATTGCACGGAACATGTATACTGGACGTGTGATTGCACTGTGATCATGTGACCATGCGTGCCTGCTACAATCAGCTTGATTGCAGACTCTGACCTTGCACCAAGTAGCTACTACTAGTATAGTTTCATTGACGCTGTATCGCGTGCTACTTTCATTTTCATGTTGTGAATGAGGCACATTATTGCTGCCGATGGCTCAAAAAAAACGATATCTGAGTTAACCTGGGGCCATTCTAGACATGCATAGAGCAATACGGTGTCCTGATGGGCAGGTCCTCACGTTGAATGCTCGTTCGACTCGTTTGTTTCTGTGCCAGACTGAGTGTGTGGCGGGCCAGGTGGGTCGAGTTCAGTCACTACCGGCAGATGGGACACCCTGCTGTGAAGCAAACCGCTCCCAAACCGTGCATACTTGCCAACCCCTGGCAAACAGTTTCCTTGACACTGATGACGGTTTTCCTTGATCTGCAATTTTTACATCATAATTGTGCAAAGTATTGTATATGACATCATAGTGACGTCACCATGACCACAAAACATTCGCAAATAGTACATGTACAGTGCGTATCGGTTATAGCGTGGTCGTGTAAAAGAATATTCTGCCTACAAGAATGAACTCTCATGTTTTCATAATCATAACATGGATTTCATGTGCACATTTATTCTTACAAGCAATTTTATCGTACAGTAGAATATATCGGTCCTAAGAATGGACTTTGTGTAGCGAAACATGCCAGATCAGTACAAAGTATATCGCCTGTAGTATTAACATCCGTCCAAAACAGTTCTGAACTTCTGATCTGACTCGTGTTGGGTCGTAGTGCTGCAGGTTCAACTATTGTGGTCATGTAACGCATGTTGCATAGCCACATGGTAAGCCTATGGGACTTTGACCAGCCGCACTCACAGTAGCACTACGGTGCATGTACATGTACAATCATGTACGATGATCTTCCTGCCTCTGCGCACATGCACATGATATGTCACACTTGATTTATCGTGTGTAAGAAATATCGGAAATAAGAATAGAAAGTCGTTTTTCAAACACCCACGCTATAACCGATACCTACTGTACGACAAAAAAGTACTTTTTTATGCGCTAACTCAAAAGTTCTCGCTCGCTACACCTTCGTTTTGGGCACAGCACTGCGAGCGAGCGTCTAGAACACTGAAAATCAACAAAAAAAGGTGTTGACGGACATTTTCGAAAATCCGGTATATGTTATAAATTTCCGGTATACCGGGATGAAAGCGAGTTTTCCTTGATTTCCCGGAAATTCCGGTAGGGTTGGCAAGTATGACCGTGTACAGAGTGTGGATTTGTCATGATGAAATTGGTTGCAAGTGGATCCAAAGTCAGCATTCCACTAATTTTGGTGTGGTCGTGACGTGACACTTCCAAGCCCTATTTTTGCACCTGCCACTTTTGTTGATTTCAGGGGTCATGTTATCTACTTCGAAGTATCTATAAATTGAAAGTACACATAACCGTTGACTAATAATCTGCTTTTGGCGCTTGCCTCAGATTCGCTTTTATTTACCAGCCACCTCTAGTGTCAAGTATTGCCTTCACGGGGGACAGTGGATGCAATTGAATTGTGGGGTGGATACATGGATGCCTTCAATCAAGAGTACATAACCTCCCCCCAGAGTGTGCAACGCGTGATCCAGCTCTGCACAGGGTCTTGGTTGAGCATAGTCGGATCTTCTGATGCCATGCGTACACTCCACGCCCGTCTCGAGGCAGAGCACCGTTGTTTTTGATCCGAGAGTCCCCGCAACTCCCCGGGTTCCCCTCAGATGTGTACGGTATTATGACGCAAAGATCCGATTTCGCTCGACCAAGACCCTATGCAGAGCTGGATCAGGTTTTCACGCTCTGGGGGGGGGGGGGGGGGGGGGGGGGGGTTACCGTATTTTACCGGTTATAAGTCGACCCCGGTTATAGGTCGACCCCCGTATCCGGAGGTCTTAATTATGTTTTCAAAGTTTTTGCCCAACGAAGCACTGCTAACCGCTCCCTGCTACTAACACATGAACAAATCACATAAACACTCCTCATTGGATTCTGAAACATCCAAATCCTTGAAAAAGGCAAATAGACTTGGCAAAAATGCATACACATGGTGCACTCGTGTATTCAGTGCAGGTTATTTTTTGGAAGATACCGATAATTCCCGGTTATAAGTCGAATCCCGGTTGTAAGTCGACCCCCACCTTTTCTCCTGCTATTTTCAGTCATAAAACGTCGACTTATAACCGGAAAAATACGGTATGTACTCTTGCTTCGATCCTTTCTACTGGTTCCTGGACCATGCTCTTGCCGATTTAGTGCCATGTGGTTAGCCCGTTAGTGGTATTGAGTACAAGTGTGTAATGTAAGATATGATTGTGTGTTTTGTGTGTAAACAAAAAAAATGGAAAAATGAAGAATAGGGATTCACTGGCCAGAAAAAGTCACTTCAATCAGCTGTGTGGTGGATACCAGGCTAAAAATAGTGGCGGTCAATTCATCAGCCTTGCAAGCTGTTGAATGGTGTAATTCCAGCACAAGTTGCTATGTCTAACATAGCTGTTCGCTATCATCGCTTCCGCGATGGGCAGGTCTGAGGTCTGATGTGTGTGTCTTTGGGTGTGTGTCTTTGTGTGTGTGTGTGTGTGTGTGTGTGTGTGTGTGTGTGTGTGTGTGTGTGCATTATCTTTCTGTTCACCTGCATACATGCATTGAAATCCAACCGACCGCCAGGTGATAACGCGAGCAGTTCCAATTTTCCGCCCGCTAGGAGAAGGATCTGTGCAAGCCATATTCTGGATGGCAGGCAACGGGCTGAAGTTACCAATGATGAAAGTGCTGATGACATCAGTGTATCCAGACATGAAGAGAGAAGTCCCCCAGATGGAGAGCAGGCACTTATCTCCCCCGGTCTCGACAATGAGCAGGGTCGCATGAAATCAATGTTCCGACATCCACCAACAGTCACCGGCTACTTGAAGGAGTGGTATAGCAAACACAAAGAGGTGAGCATTGCCAACAGCCATCTACATAAGCCCACACTGGGCAACTCTAGCCTGAGCGTAAAATGGATGTACAGTCAACTTTGCGTATAACGACACTCGGCGGGGCATCAGAAAGGTGTCCTTATTCGCAAAGTGTCCTTCTACCCGAAGTCTCATTATATGTATTACAGTTAGATGGGACTTTGCTCTGGGCATGGAAATTCTGTCGTTATTCGCGAAGTTGACTACCGTATTTTCGGAAATTACTAGCACCCGTTTTTTATTACCGCCTGTCTGAAATATAAAAACTCGGATGTTGAGCCAACAGTAATATGGGGAAAGAGAAAAGGAGCTATAAGTTACTAGTTATGATTAACAGTCCACCAAGGTAACGAGATAATATATTTCCGCACCTGAGCCTTCCAAGTTAGAAGGTTGTTGGTTTGAGCTTCGTAGATGTGTTGGAGCTAGGTGTCAGGTCGTCGAATGTCTCAATATCCTTGTCAGTTTTGTGCCTCGTTGTCGCACTATCTGACTGTATATTATCTCGTTACCTTGGTGGACTGTTAGTCATAACTAGCAACTTGTAGGTCCTTTTCTTTTTCCAATATTACTATTGGCTCAACATCCCAGTTTTTATTCCGCACACCTCATGAGCCGTCACTAGCAATACAGCGAAACGTACGTCGTGTGAACCCACTCGTTATTGTACCAAACTTGTCCATCATCGTTACATCAACATGGAGTTTAGTAGGATATTAGCTTTCGGTTCCTGACAGTTCGTCTTCGCTTGGCTTCCCCTCTTCATGTATTTTTACATACCTTGGAGTCTCCCAAGTTGGGTGGTCTGTTGCCTTGCGTTTTCGAGTTGTAGCTAGACCGCTTTGTCCAATGGTCTTACTAGTCTCGTCATCATCGTCCCGTAATGTTCGACATTCTTTGTTGCCGAGGGACATAGCTCGTGCACATCTTTGTGACGCATTCCTTCCCCTCATTGGAACTTTCCGCACCTGGGCCTTCCAAGTTGTAAGGTTGTTGGTTTACGCTTCGTAGATGTGTTGGAGCTAACGTTAGGTGTCAGGTCGTCGAATGTCTCAATATCCTTGTCAGTTTTGTGCCTCGTTGTCGCACTATCTGACTGTATTATTGTCTCGTTACCTTGGTGGACTGTTAGTCATAACTAGTAACTTATAGGTCCTTTTCTCTTTCCATGTGGGAAATATGCGCCACATCATTTCAGGGCATTCTTTTGGAAGTTTTTTTAAATTGGGTGAAATTGTAGAGCTCACAAACTACTAAGCGCCTCGGTCAGTATTGCCGAAAGTACAATAGCTTTTAAGCGATGTTCGGTCTTTGGCTGCCTAAGTGAGCCTGATCAACTCACCGCCCACCAAATTTTGGAGCTGCATCACACCTTGTGTGTTTATGTGCAATTGGCCATGGACTGGCCACCGCATGGAATGTATTGAGTTAGCAGCTACAAATCTTAATCTTATGAGCTACTTCTACACGTTTAAAATAATAAAGTTATGATCAGCTGGGTGGATTATGATCAGTGAGTTATAATCAGCTCATTGGACTCACTACCATCCAGTCAGGTCAACAAGGGCACGTGTAATAAGTTTTTTTCTTCTTTCAATCTGAGATCAATGGTACCGTTTCTGCCCGCATGCGACCACTGTCATATGCCTTGATCATAGCATGTAGTAAACTATAGTTTCAGCAGCATGTAACTTGGACTATTGGCATCTCCAACATTACAGTCGCAACTTTAGATACTAGTCTCATGCTCCAGAACAGCCAGGTTAAAGTAGCACAATAAGTTGCGATCTGTTGTATTATCAGACTATGCACACATGCTGACAGAGTGTGGCATAGGTTGGATGGTTTCGTTTTATTTTCTCTGACTCTCTCTCCCTCTGTTTGCTTTTCCCTGTTTTTTTTCTCTCTTCTGCCTTTCTCGCTCCTTCTCTATCATTGTGTGTATGTGCGTATGTGTGTGTCTCTCTCTCCCTCTCTCTCTTCATCTCTCTTTCTCACTCTCTTTTTAGTTCCTCTTTCTGTCTGCCCCTCTCTCCCTTTCTATTAATTTTCTCTTTCTCTCTCCCTTTTTATTGTTTTCTATCTCTCTCTCACAGAACCCATACCCTACTGCTCAGGAAAAGGAGATGCTTATTGCCAAATCGGAGAAGACGTTTGGCTTTACAATGACCAAACAGCAGCTTGATAACTGGTGAGCGACTTTTATCTTCCCACTTTTTCTCTTGCATTATTCTTCACCAGTTGGCTCTAAGGTCATACTCATGCCACCTGCTTATCAAAGACCAGCAAATTAGCGTAGGTTTTGATGCTAGTGATGTGCATACAAAAAGACGCAAAGCTCACAATCCTGGCTGTCCATGAGTTTAAAAACAAAAAACAATGATGTGAAATCCTAGCTGTCCGAAATGCGGCTTGGTCGGATGAACCATTCAGTATGTCATCATGGGTGGTATATCATCCAAAATGCTTCATTGGCAAAGTTGCCACCATTGTGTGCAGCACAGCACGGTGCTGTCACATGCGTTGTTGACCTGTACATTCATTGTTTTCTTTGATAGCTACTGGAGAAATTATCGCAAAGAACAGAGCAGGAGGCATACTGACAACGAGCACCATGACAATATTCTACCGTGTTTATTCCTGAACGTTTTCAAAGCGTTCTCACCAGAGTAATCATAGGCACGTAAACCTAGGAACGACAACCCTCAGTACTCAAAGAACTTTATTGAAAAATCCATGATTACATGATCCGGAAGGATGAATAGAAAAATCCAAAGTCAATGCATGCTCACAGGCGATTACTACAGGCAAATATTACTGAATTACTGTACTACAACCTTAACTAAGGACTACTACAATATTAATGCAATGAAAAGAGTAAGTTGAGCACTCAGTACACAAACCATGAGCAAAATCTACTTGTCATATACATGTATGTTCCTTAAAAAAGTGTTTTCGAGGCCATCTCATCAGAAGGATTACTGGCAAATCAAATTCAATCAAGAGCACAATATTTATACGCAACTCCAGAGTAATAAATTAGAACCTATCCAGCGCAAACAAATGGGAGCTGAGAGAAAGTATAACAACGAAAACATCAGGTGACGAAATATGAGATAAATTTGCAACCAGCAAGCAACCGTGCAAACACGAAAGAACTACTGATCTAAATTTGCAAACAATTTCAATTTAAATCAGTAGTTCTTTCATGTTTGCACGGTTGCTTGCTGGTGGTACATGTATCTCATATTTCGTCACCTGATGTTTTCGTTGTTATACTTTCTCTCAGCTCCCATTTGTTTGCGCTGGATAGGTTCTAATTTATTACTCTGGAGTTGCGTATAAATATTGTGTTCTTGATTGAATTTGATTTGCCAGTAATCCTTCTGATGAGATGGCCTCGAAAACACTTTTTTAAGGAACATACAGTAGGTATCGGTTATAGCGTGGGTGTTTGAAAAACGACATTTGATTCTTATTGCCGATATTTCTTACACACGATAAATCACGTTTGACATATCATATGCACGTGTGACATAATACATGTTTGGCATGTGGACACGTACAATCATGTAGGTCTACACAATCATGATACACACGGATCAGACTCGCGGTCGTGCTAGGCGACTGCGGAGCAGCAGATAGGAGAGAAGTCGGAAGAAAGAGTCCGACTGGACAGAAAAAGTGATTCTCCAATGCTCAGTTGGACATAACTCTCTTTTTGTGTTGAATATTATTGTATTGAGCATGCACAGAGCACAGATGTTATTACTACAGGCGATACATTTTGCACTAATCTGGCATATTTTGCTACACAAAATCCATTCTTAGGGCCGATATATTCTACTATGCGATAATACTGCTTGTAAGAATAAATATACACATAAAATAGGTGTTATGATTATGAAAAAATGAGTGTTCATTCTTGTAGGCAGTATATTCTTGTATACGACCACACTATAACCGATACGCACTGTACATGTATATGACAAGTAGATTTTGCTCATGGTTTGTGTACTGAGTGCTCAACTTACTCTTTTCATTGCGTTTTAATATCATTCTTATCTCCACAGAAACTAGTACAATAGGTAATAGATTATTGCGAATAGTGAGAAACGAGAGAGCTTGGAAGCTCAGGGCCCTACGCTATGCTTTTTTGCCTTGATGACCTGGACAAAAAAAAGCATAGGGATGTTATAAATTCTTATAAGTTTCTACTTTTTGTTTTTAGACATAACCTGGGATTCGAACCCGCACTATCGCCCTGCATGCATCCCCCGATACACTTCGCATACATACTAATTCTTCCAAGTTGCTTCACGTTATGATCTTGTATTTGAAAGCCCTATTTGAATATGCATTGTGGCCAGCCGTCTTTGAATGTACGGTACGGTACGGGATAGGTACAGGACAGGTACGGTCGAGGGTAATACGACACCGTCTACCGCCTTGATGACGGCAAAAAAAGAAAAGGGATGTTATAATTTTTTTCAATTCTCCTATTTTTTCAGGCATTACCTGGGATTTGAACCCGCACTATCGCCCCACATGCATTCCCCATACACTTCGCATTCATACTCATTCTTCCAAGTTGCTTCGCGTTATGATCTTGCGTTTGAAAGCCCTATTTGAATATTGCGGCCAGCTGTATGTGGCCAGCTGTGTTTGATGGTACGGTACGGTACGGGACAGATACGGGATAGCGCCAGGCGTGACACAAACACACAAACAAACACCAAATTAAAGCTGTGTGGACCCTGGCTAGCGCCAGACGTTACTGAAGTAACGTCTTCTGCATAGCTACGGGAATAAATCTGTGACTATTCGCAATAAATCTGTCTTGCCTCCGAGGCTTTATTTCCACCGCCATAACTAGATCCTGTGTTTACACTAACTTCTCACTAACTTAGAAGTTGCGACTTCGGCGGTATTACTGATGAAGTTGGTTGTTCCAACGAGGAACATGCGCTTCCTGCCGAGCTTGACACTTGACTGACTCACGACTGCCATCCGGAGCACATTGCACCTTCCACTCGGCAACTTGCAAGAAAGGAAGTGGTGCTTTCTTGCAGGTTTGCCGAGTGGAAGGTGCGTTGTGCTCCTCGTGTACTCCGGATGGCAGTCGTGAGTCAGTCAAGTGTCAAGCTCGGCAGGAAGCATGTCTTCCTCGATGGAACAACCAACTTCGTAACTTCTCACTATTTCATACTAATCCGATTCTATCACTTATGTATTGGTACTTCTGGTTGCCATTCCCTACTGTTCACTTGCCTGTAATTCCTCCAAAGAGAACACTAAGTCTTCTAACTTTAACTGGTAAGCAGTGTTGCCGGAAGAATGCCGTTCTGTCTGGAACTCTGAATTACAACCCAACCTCATTCTGCTTTCAGTATCAATCAGACTGGCGTACACTATCACATTTTACTTCGATTCTCCTTCGATGAAGTTCATGGCTTGTTGAGTGATAACAATTTTGATCCCAACCCGACTGTGTAACAGGTTCATTAATCAGCGTCGGCGAGTTTCGGACGGTCTCAATCGCTCAAGGCTAGGATCAGTTGGCCAGTCTGTGGCTGAATCCGGCACAGCGTGCACAGCAGTATCATCAACCTCAACCATGCAGATCGGCAATCCACAGAGCCAGCTGAGCAGCCACACACCAACTTCCATCCAATCGCCGACTATGCCCAGCAACACTGCACTCAGTCCTGTTCAGCTGCAGATGGTGATGTCACAGCAGCACTGGGATAGTCGGCACGGTGAGTGGCCGGCATAACATTCTTTTGGGAACAAAGGTCACTTGATGTATCATACAAGTCGTTCAGTGTGGGAGCAAACCCATTCCTAAAAAATCATCGCCGAAGTCGCAACCACTAATTCATACAAGTAGTTCATTATTCTATGTACATCAAATGTACATGTACATGTATGTGTTGTCGGTGCGTATGCGTGTTGCTGGTGTGAGTTAAGTTAAAAGAGATTTTGTCTTCGGTTCATCATATCCAGTTAGTTTGCTCCGCTCATCGAGTGTAAAGAAGCGTTCACATAGATCATGTGCGTTTTCATTTTTCAATAATGTTGTCCTCCTGTGAGGATAACAAGAGGCCCGTGCAGATCCAGGGGAGTTCGTTCGTTTCCTGTACTCTTATGATTTGTCGTCTGACTTTTTTTATAGTTGTGTGATGAGTCGGTGTGCTGGGGATTTGTGTGACATCAGGCCGCACCGAAAAAGTCTTTGTTTCGGGTAACATGGCCAGAAAAATACCGGTCGGTCAGTCGGCTTTCTTTTTTTTGCCGATATTTTTTATGCATGTCATGCGCCAGATCTAATTACCGGTGTGCACTTGTGTACAGTACACAGCCCAGATACAAAATGTGTGGTCGATAAAACAGGCGTAGTAGCATTCTCAATCGACAGCTCGATCAGACCGCCGGGAACAGTCAAACTGCATCGTGGTCATACTCAGGCACCGAGCAGAGCTCCGAGACGTTGCACATCAACACATCATTCAGTGATCATTGCGGGCCAGGAACTACACCTTCCTGTTGCTCCAACGTAAAGAAAAAGAATCAGCGTCCGAACTCCAAGTGGAGTTCAGCATTATCACTCTTGTCAGCACCGTTGCGGCTTGACCCGGTTTCGCTGAAGGCAGCACACACTCCTTTGAAGTGAGCGTTGCCTTCTGGATGAAGAGTTTCCTACAAATTGCTCAGGGTACAATCCTCCGTGATAATACAGCTGTTGACGACGGTCCGGCCACTGTCAGCTATAGCGACCAAATCGTTTTGCCCCTAGAGTTTCTAAACTAAAACAAGGCGTTGTCGAGAACGTTACACTTGGCAACTACAACCACCCTGCAACAAATCCGGCGGACTTGATCGAGTCACTCGCAAGCGAAACGAAAGCCTGAAATGTCCAGCCAGAGCCAGGAAGGAAGATCCCTGGGCGTGGCACACTGCGAAGTGTACAGTCATGTACATGCGCGTGATGCGCACAATATGCGTATATGCATGACTGGGTCGTTTCGTCTCACACATAGGCACATGCGCTTGAGTTGCTAGTGTACTGGTGGTACCTTGCATAATTATGAAAGTATTGCGATAACGCACTGCACATTAAACTATGTGAACATGGTGTTTTTGTGGTGTCCGTGTGTCGTGTGATGGACTGCATTTAGGTTCACTTATAAGTAGGGCTGAAACGATTATACCAAATAATCGAGTACTCGTTTGATAACTCTAACGATCGAGCAATCGTTTAGATTACCGATTACAATTATTTTGCGTTTTTTAAATTTGTGTCCAGAAAGTGCTGTAAACCCTCGTTTTGTGAAGTTTGAATCAGTTTACGCTGGGAGTGTGCAGTTTCCAGCAGTATGGTTCATGTTCTGAAGTTAAATTGACTTCAAAACTGCCATGTTTCGGAGCTACCCTTTCACTAAATGCAGATTTGTTGGTATTATGAAGGCATAGTTTGTGGAAACAGAGTAATGTTTGCACAGAATTATGACTCTATTTGCTAACGATTATAATCGATTACTCGATCGTTAAGCTAAAGAGTAATCGATGCCTGGAAATCCACGATCGTTTCAGCCCTACTTATAAGCCCATGCGCTTATTTGTGAGGGTGCGCTTATGCCCGGATATAGGCACATGCGCTTAAATGCGCGTCACTACGGTAATCCACAAAGGAGGCAGATGTTTTATTTATTTATGGGTGACTGGTATGGTGTTGTTGAGTGGCTGGTGTTTTTTGTTCTGTTTTGTTCTACCATTTGAATCAGGGACAATTCTAACTCTGAGGAGAGAGTTTTGTCGTCACGAGTTCATTATGTGCACGTGTACCTTTTGTTCGTGCATGCGCATGTTACTGTTGGAGAGAGAGAGAGTGTGTGACTGGGTGTGAGTGCGTGTGTGTGTGTGCGCGTGTGTGTGTGTGTGTGTGCAGGGGCGGATGCAGGAGGGGTTCCGCGGAACCCCCTTAATTTCGTAAATGTATTACTGACAACCATATGCGTGCCCATGTTTATGTATCAGCTATTCAGTTTTGACTATACTGGAACCCCCCTGTAGAGATCGCTGGATCCGCCGCTAGTGTGTGTGTGTGTGGGTGTGTGTGTGTGTGTGTGTGTGTGTGTGTGTGTGTGTGTGTGTGTGTGTGTGTGTGTGTGTGTGTGTGTGTGTGTGTGTGTGTGTGTGTGTGTGTGTGTGTGTGTGAGAGAGAGAGAGAGAGAGAGAGAGAGAGAGAGAGAGAGAGAGAGAGAGAGAGAGAGAGACTGAGAGAGAGAGAGAGAGAGAGAGAGAGAGAGAGAGAGAGAGAGAGAGAGAGAGAGAGAGAGTCTTCATCTTCCGTTGGTCATGACCAAGTAGTTGTTTCCTTCGTGTCTTGAGTCTTGTTGTCCGGTAAAGCTATTCAGTGTGCCATGTCAATCCCCTTCGTCCAGTAATTCTGAGTGGCGAGATGGCAGGAGGGCTAGGAGCAGACTGAGGAAAGGGGAAAAGTCTAGTTGCAATAGATACACTTGACTTGGTGATGCCAACAGCATGGATCATTGGCGGGTTTGAGTCCTTGCCGCCTTGCCACAGTATCCAGTATTCAGCTTTTCTCAGTGTGAGAGTGACACAACTAAGGCAGCAAGGCATGCACATGCAGAATAGCACCCAGATGCAGAATCGCACCGAGATTCAGAATAGCATCCAGATGCAGAATAGCACCCAGATTCAGAATAGCACCCAGATGCAGAATAGCACCCAGATTCAGAAGAGCACCCAGATGCAGAATAGCACCCAGATGCGGCAGAATATCACCGAGATTCAGAATAGCACCCAGTTGCAGAATAGCACCCAGATGCAGAATATCACCAAGGTGCAGAATCGCAACCAGATGCAGAATATCACCAAGGTGCCGAATAGCACCCTGATGCAGATTATCACCCAGATGCAGAATAGGACCCAGATGCAGAATATCACCCACATACAGAAATCACCCAGATGCAGAATATCACCCAGGTGCAGAATGGCACCCAGATGCAGAATATCACCCAGATGCAGAATAGCACCCTGATGCAGGATCGCACCCAGATGCAGAATCGCAACCAGGTGCAGAATAGCACCCAGATACAGAATAGCACCCAGATGCAGAATAGCACCCAGATTCAGAATAGCACCCAGATGCAGAATAGCACCCAGATGCAGAATAGCACCCAGATGCAGAATCGCACCCAGATGCAGAATCGCAACCAGGTGCAGAATAGCACCCAGATGCAGAATAGCACCCAGATGCAGAATCACAACCAAGTGCAAAATAGCACCCAGATGCAGAATAGCACCCAGATGCAGAAGAGCACCCAGATGCAGAATAGCACCCAGATGCAAAATATCACCCAGATGCAGAATCGCACCCAGATGCAGAATCACAACCAGGTGCAAAATAGCACCCAGATGCAAAATAGCACCCAGATGCAGAATAGCACCCAGATGCAGAATAGCACTCAGATGCAGAAGAGCACCCAGATGCAGAAGAGCACCCAGATGCAGAATAGCACCCAGATGCAGAATCGCAACCAGATGCAGAATCGCAACCAGATGCAGAAGAGCACCCAGATGCAGAATAGCACCCAGATGCAGAATAGCACCCTGATGCAGAATCGCACCCAGATGCAGAATCACAACCAGGTGCAGAATAGCACCCAGATGCAGAAGAGCACTCAGATGCAGAAGAGCACCCAGATGCAGAATAGCACCCAGGTGCAGAATGGTGTGGGTCAATGCAGTTAATCCTTGTAAGCGCTTATCACATGCACAGACCGTCTCACTGCTTCTGTCCTCATCATGGTTTCTTATAACTTACTTAGCCATGTCCTTTTGTGTTTGGGCAAATCTACATACATGTACATCGCATGCACTGCTTGGAGCACCCAATATGCCACCTGGTGCGCCTGTCTGCGTTCCGCGTGCAGCATGCAAGTATAAGGTACACAGGGCTGTGCGCCTGTCCTGGCTCTGGGTCACACTTACAGCTCAACCATCGAGCATACACTGTATATCACGCCAGTTTGAAGAGCTCAAACTGTTTAGTTGTTGTTTTCTGGCGCTTCTTGCTCAGCAGAAGTGGTTGGCTTCTGAATTATTTTCCCGCCATCCCACCCTTACCATTATCTATAATCAGGACGTCCACTATCGGTCCATTTTCACAATAAATACTGGGTGCTGGCACAACGCTAAAAGGGGAAGTTAAGCCTAAAATCAAAATTTTCACCAGTTGTAGTCTTCGGGGTGCCGACTCGAATAGTCTTGGTCCGAGGAAGCCGAGACCTTCCGTTCCTCCTTTATTCCCAATCAAACTCGCGCGCTTCCACCGAAACTGGGTGACGGCGCCCTACTAGATGAGGATTGGTATGCAAAATGTCACTAAAAGCGCCATTTCGTTCTTATAAAAGCACGGATGACCGCGATTAGTCCATATGCTGTAGTCTTTCGGATGCTGATTCGACTGGTTTTGGCCCGAGAAAGCTGCGATGCAGCGTTCAACCCGTATTCCCAATCGAACATAGTTGAATAAGCGGTCACGTGCTCATGCGTGCACAAGTCACCTGGTCACCTTGCCTGCAGGCTGTAAGTTGTACCCTAGCCCTACAGGCACGGTGACTGGTGCACGCAGGAGCATGTGACCGCTTATTCAACTATGTTCGATTGGGAATACGGGCCGAACACTGCATTGCAGCTTTCTCGGACCAAAACCAGTCGACTCTGCGTCCGAAAGACTACAACATATGGGCCAATCGCGGTCATCCGTGCTTTTATAAGAACAAAATGGCACCTTTAGTGACATGTTGCATACAAATCCCCATCTAGTAGGGCGCAGTCACCCAGTTCCGGTGGAAGTGCGCGAGTTCGATAGGGAAGAAAGTAGGAAGGGAGCGTCTCAGCTTCCTCGGACCAAGACCATTCGACTCAGCACCCCGAAGACTACTACTCGTGAAAATTTGATTTTAGGCTTAACTAATATCTCCCATTTAGCGACAATGGTTTAACTCGTTCAAGCACTCTGTGCTCTATGTTGAGCCAACACAGGCGCTCTATGTTGAGCCACTCAATCTCTCGTGCTCTATGTTGAACCACTCTCTCACTCTCCCTTTCTCTCTCTCTCTCTCTCTCTCTCTCTCTCTCTCTCTCTCTCTCTCTCTCTCTCTCTCTCTCTCTCTCTCCCTCCCTCTCTCGTGCTCTATGTTGAGCCACATTGCCTCACTCGCAGCCAGCACCCCCATAACTCCAAACGCTGTGCCCTGTGTGTTTGTGTACTTCATAGTGGTCTAGTATCTACATGACAGTTGTATGTGGGATAACACCCAGATGCAGAATAGCAGCCAGATGCAGAATAGCACCCAGTTGCAGAATAGCACCCAGATGCAGAATAGCACCCAGATGCAGAATAGCACCCAGATGCAGAATAGCACCCAGATGCAGGGTACTACACCTCCGCAGCACCTTCCTTGCCTCTTCACTGTCTGTTGTGAAAGCAGCTGAGTAAAATTAATGAAATCCAGTCGCAACTGTGCACAGAGCTCAGGTCAACTATGGAAATGTGCAAGTGTTCGTTTGTGAACAGTGGTGACAACTGCCAACGCTGCCTCTGCATGCACAACAGTGCATGAGCAGCAATCACACAGGTAGCCTGAGAAATTAATGCATGTGCGGCTTTCTTTGTGTAGTTAGTTGTCTTTGTGTTTGATTGCTGCGACAACAGTACTTTCCTCGTGTGGCTTTCTTTGCGTTTTTGTCTGGAACAGCAACAAGCACACTTGGACCAGCATCCATCTTGAAGTCACCAACAACCCTCACTCGTGCTCCCATTATCTTCACCACCAAAAACCCTGGAGTTGCAAAGAGTAGCATAGCCATTGCTGCTCCACAGCAAGTCCTTCTATTGACCCCTGCTCCTCAACCTGCTAGCACACAGCCCGCAGTCCTATCAGCACTGTCACCACCGTCCGTTCTTCCACCAGTGTCAGGTATCACGGTAGTATCACCACCAGCTATACCGGTGGCAACTTCTCCTCTGCACATGGTGTCCCCATCAGCTGGGACATATGCCTGCACGCAAAACCCTATGCCAGAAGTCAACCGTGTGTCCCACCCTTAGCCAATCCGCCCACCAAGGCTACCAGGGTGCTACAACCCTTGTGTACCCAGTGTCTGACAATAACCCTAATATCAAGCTCAACGCCCGACACAAGCCAACAGCATAGCTAGTTTATCACAGCCAGCTCAGAGCACAAGCCACACAACACTGTCAGCTACAACGCAGCCCGGCAGTCAACCAGTCAACCTTATCAACTGCAACTACCCGTGGGCGAACAAAACCGCAGCAGCAGGTACGGACCACCCAGGACCTCCTCGACTAGCCGCATAATTCTCCATCGGCTGATGCAGAACAATGCAAATAAAGCTTCCAACTAACTTCCAACAGTGCACAATGCATATCCAGAAGCTATAGTTCAACCATCTGTCTCTGCTATCCTGCACTGCCACAATTGCACCTGCCTCTAACTTACTAGCCAGCACTGTCGCAATTGCAACTAGTTCCACTGCACTGTACAAGTGTCCTGCAAGGACACTCACTCTTCAAGAATTCCTGGTATCATCGTGAGTCAGAAATGCCTGTCTGATTCCTACTCCCTGTGACAATATTCGTCTAAAAGCCCCTTTCATGCATATGCTCCTGGGGCTTTATAGCTATTCTTAGTTGTAGGACTGGTTCTTATGTAGAACACAGCTCATCATCATCACGGTATTTTCCTAGGTGTGTAATTGTCTGTGATGTGTCACCAATGCGGCACAAGGCTTCAGTAACTAGTTACTCTGTATTGCTATCCTGTGTTTGATTCACGAAGCCCGAGGTATCTACGATGTGTGGTGCGTGCACTTTTTTAGGTAAGTATCACTTCAATGACTTTACTTCCCAACCTGTGAGTTGCCTGCTCTCTTTCCTTCTCTCTTGCCACCCTGCCTCAGTCAGTCAGTAAATCTAGATCGGCTAAAGAAGCCAGAAACCTTGTCCGCCGTTCAGACATGTCGCGACAGTGGCCTGGCCACTGCACCAACAGCATGCTGACTAGGCGGCCGCTGTACAGCCTACACTACAGGCTATGTGTGCTCTCGCTCCCTGTATCACTGTGAACTAATGTTATTACTAGTATTATTTACTGCGTGACATTCACCACCATTTCGCTCTGTTTATAATAATTATACCGTCTGGTAATTATTATTATTTTTAGTTCAACTAACCTGTCACCAAACCAGTTGCAAGTGTTTTGGCGATGACGGTGGCTTGTGAGCTCGTTTGTGTCTGTCAGCTGTGCGCATCTGGGGAGTTGCAATATGGCGCAAAGCCAGAGAATTGCACCGTCTCAAATTTTACCTGCTTCAATGAACGCAATTTCAGTTTCCCTTGGACAATTCCGAGTCATGATCTTTGGCATCCGGGAAAGCTACCGATGAGAGGAACACTAACAGCTCAAACTTTATCCCACAGGATGCGCTGGACCAGGGCTGCAAGCCAGCGAAGCTAAGCGTTTCAGGATGGGGTTTCCGCTTTCGATCGATCTCAATACGCCATTTCACCCTTCTTCCTTCGTACTGAAGAAACTCAAAATGTTTTGTTGTTGGCACCCCGTACCCCCCAGTACTGCAGTACAAGAATTTGAATTAAAAATTATTTGAATGATCATACGAGATCGTATCCTTGGCAATTCCTTGCCAAACTGACGTAATCCTGGAAAATCGCAGTCGATGGGCCATGCCTAAGCAAGTGTATAGGCCATGGCATATGGGCCCATGGCATGGGTTCGTCTACATCATTACTACATTAGCACGCTAGCGCTGTGTGCAAGTGGCCTGACTGATCGTGAGTCCTGTGTGATCATGGTGATCGTGAGTCCTGAGCGCTAAGCGCTAGCTGATATAAGTGCTAAGGACTCCGGGCACTGTAACATTACAACTAAAATTTCTAAATTGAACTACAGCTGTACTTGTAGCTCAAGAACCACTTATCTTTGTTCTATTCATCGGTTATTATAGATGACTTGCACGAAGAGTCAAAGATTGTCTGGGTTCGATACGGGGCAAGTGGACCTTCTAGAATTCTCCCTCTGACTTCCCGTCCATTTGAGTTTCGAATTACGCGTTTTGCCTGACGAACACTGAGCTAGTTTTTTGGCTAGAGTTGTTTTGATTTGGCTTGTATCGTCATGCCGAAGCGCTACTGCAGTACTGCGCTTCTGAATGCACCAGCCGACTAGAGATGGAACTAAGCTAAAGGCTCTCGTTCAATACGTTCCTTTCCGAACCGGAAGGCAGAAACTTGATCTATTCATGCCATATCGAGCCGATGATGAGCTTGAACGAGGGAATATTTTAGTATCATTGGAAATAGTGTAGGCTGCAGCAAGCACGTCGTGGTCCTGGACTCTGGAGTGTGACTACTTTCCCGCAGTGGAAGCGAAGTCAAGCACAACGAAAGTTTGTCGACGTCTGAGAAAAGAACTCGATTCTTTTGATTGCTGCACTAGCCACTAGTACCTCCAGAGCGACCCTCTCGTGGGGACAGACTGCGGAGAGGCCCGGAACCTGCCGCGTAACGAGTGGAAGTCCAAACCACGGAAAATGAAGAGTGGAGGGACCGAGCGTGAGAGCCAGATGGCCTTTAATAGTACTTCAAGTAGTATCTGAGTTGACGGAGAGAACAAGTGTGCTGGAGAAACGCTGTGAAGTCCTGAAGCCTGATGTAGTACTAGCTACTGTTGAAGTCTCACTTGTTCCGATATGAACGTTTCATCAGCCCTGACCGTCAGAGCAACTGTATCTAGACTGGACTTTGGCCAGAGACATGGCATTGTAAACCTTACTGAAGCCGTATATATCCAATGCCTGGCTCTAAGGAGAAAGCAGTTTGGCGCAGGCTCGCAAACTATGATTGAATCAGGGAGTGGTTGAAAAATCACAAATATCCCTCCATGATTAGCTGCTGCTGATGACGATGCGGCTCCGACTGGGTCTCATGGGAAAGTAACGTGTACTGAAGCGCGGAACAAATAGTGCCAGAATGTGTGCGATGCACTTGACTTATCTGAGCATGTTCATCATTGTGGATGTAGCAGAACTACGCTGTGAGGTACCTTCTGTGTTGGACCTGCAGTTGAGCCACTACTCATCTTGCAAATTCCATACAAGGGTGAAAGGACGTGTCGGAGCATCATCAAACGGTACATTCACCGTCATCATGCACTGGCTCCATTGCCTACAGTAGTTCACGTTTTGACGGGGCGCGCCGGGACGCTACGTATGGAGTGGCGAGAACCGTTGGAATGCTCATGATGCTGGTTAGCGGCGACGAATGTGAATGTCAGGAACTGGTACGCAACCGCACAACTGTGCAGATCAGGAAGTGATGGAAGAGTTGAATCTGTTCAACCGCCCATGCCGTGCACAGGGACACAAGCGTAGAAGTGGCTACGTTTCGAATGTGAGCTGGCGATGGCGTCGTGTGGCGACGAAAACAACTGCCACTTTTCAAATTTCAGCATTTCGAACACTATGCTTCCCATGATAACTCACCGAATGGCTCACATGACGGAGTTGGGCTTTACCAAGCTAGGATTATCATTTGCTTTATGGATAGTTCTTGAGTTTTTCAGAAGAACTGTTTTATATTTTACCTGTTGTTCCTTTAGAACGGCGCAACGTCCATGGCTGCTTTCTCGGTCTTCATAACAGACTGGTATAATCAGCGTGATTCCGCTTTATTTGAGAAGAAATAAGAGAAAGGAAGTCCAGAAACGTCAACCCCAAGGGCCATGGACTGTGCTTTATGACTCGTGTCCATCGACACTAACCGTCGCAATAACTGCTGCATGCGTGTTGTGCTGTGCGAATCGTACCCGATTTTACAGCTCACCCAAGCCTTCCCAACAGGCTCCTATATCCCGTACCGGTTAGCATTACATTGAATATGAACTAGGGTAGCACAGTTATCCTTTGTTCCCCTGATGTCGGCGGGTAGCATGACACTTGACGTCTTCTTGGGAGCCTCGTGCATATCCTGCAACACTTGCTGTTCCTGGGTGCCATATTATTGGTTGCATGAGGGTGCTTTTATGCTCACTGTTTTTTTGGTAAGACTGTTTTTTTTAAATAGGTTTACTAACTGTCTCACGGAAGAATAAGCCCAGAGTTACTGAAGTAGTACTGTGACTCATCAGCTGCTGAAGTTTGTGAAGTACATGTACTAGTACTGTCACGTACACGGTTGTTGTTAGTTGACAGCTTGTCCGTGACAAGGTGGAGAACACTGTGTTCAGCAGAAAACAGTGACCTTTCTACAACCATCCATCTCTCTCTCTCTCTCTCTCTCTCTCTCTCTCTCTCTCTCTCTCTCTCTCTCTCTCTCTCTCTCTCTCTCTCTCTCTCTCTCTCTCTCTCTCTCTCTCTCTCTCTCTCTCTCTCACACACACACACACACACACACACACACACACACACACACACACACACACACACACACACACACACACATGGCGTGTATCCTAACTACTAGCAGGTATCCTAGAACTTAGAAGTCGTCATGAAAATTAATGACGTTCTACTACGGTGCTGGCAACTGAAATCCGACCCCCTGGGCGGCGCGGTGCGCCGCCCAGGGGGTCGGATTTCAGTTGCCAGCACTGTAGTACATGTATGTAATAGCTACCGGAACCTGGATCGTGCGTCCAGTGGCAGTAGCAGCATAAGAGTGTAAGTACCACACTTACTTCTCCTTGAAGAAATATTCATCTTCAGACTTCAGTCTTCACCCAGCATAGTACTTTCGTAGTGCAGTACCCGGGTACTACCCAATATCACTATCAGAAAGTCAATCAACGATCAAAGCCGTCAGTCATCACTTGCACAGTCACTGACACCAGGCATAATAATAATTATCAGGCATCATGCCATCAAAGGCCACGCCATAATCTGTGCTGCATACATAATACAGTCATGTACAATGCATAGTGGAGCGTCGACGCGACATGTGCGCGGACTGTAGTGTGTAGTACTGCACAGTCACGCATTCACCAGTGGCAGCGGGCTTCTAGTAATGCCTACTACTAATGATGAAAGCTACACTACTACGTCATGTACTATGTAGATCTACCATGTGTACAGTCCATTCATTGGAAACTGTCACCCTAACTCTTTTGTGTCTACAAAATTAGGACAGGTATGCCATGGCAAAATGTATGAAGAAGCAGATCCTAAACCTTGATTTTTGAGATTTAAAGTGGGTTTTTGATCCTCAATTCGGCCCAAATCCGACTTTCAAAAGCTAGCGGGACACTGTTTCCGATGAATGGAGTCTGTAGTCTACAAAATTTAAAACCCGCTATGCAGTACGCCAAAGAGAGTCGTGACACTGAACATGATTCTAGATCCGGGACATTTGGTTCCGGGTACGAGATCCCCGGTCAAAAGCAGCCATCACAGTCATCGTGTTCAGATATGACTGAACCTGTTTGAGATCACTGTGCTGTGACTGCCTATGCCCGGTCCTGGATTCTCTCAATCTGCTAGAAGATCTACTAGTACTAGTAAGTAGTAGTACTACTACTAGTAGCGTAGATCGATCTTTCGAACTGGATGAAGAACAATTCTCTCTGAGAACTTTGTGTTTGTACTTGTAGCTTGAATGAAAGTATTGGGAGTAGTTTTTGGCAGCCTTCTTCTTCTTCTTCTTCTTCGTCCTCCATTGAATTCTTCTTCACGAGTGTCCTTTTTCCAGTCCCTCTCTTGTAGTAACGATCACTTTTGGCTGACTAGTTTTTGATTTAGGAGGGTTTGCTGGCACTGTTAGAGCCTTGCACTGCACCATTTCGTGCTGAGCTGTACAGGATTCACTAGAGCGGAGGCTCTCAACTTCGTATGGCCACCCCCAGCTCGCGAAGCACTGTTTGGTGCTGGAGAAAGTGTGCAGGCCAGGCGGAATAAAGTAAGTTCTCCAGTCATTACTGAGTCGACCAGCTGTGTGCTATGTAGCCACTGGGACTATGCCGGTGAGATCCAATCTTGTTTTGGTGTAGACATCCTGCATGAGTAACCGAGAGAGAGAGAGAGAGAGAAAGTGAGAGAGTATTCCACTGCAGGCTGTGCATGTGAAAGTGTGTGATGAACATCATGAGAACAGTGATTGACTCACGTATGCAAAGAGGCTTGCATTGCAGGAAGACAGGCAAAAAAAGAAAAAAATATCCTGCAGGCCCCAGGCTTG